TATAGAAGTGTTTAGAAACATATTATATTCTTATTTATAATCAAACTGACTTCAAAATGACACAACATATTATTTACCATTCATTGCTGTTGGCACAAAATAATCTGAAACACAACCAAACTAACTGCTAATGCATCCAACAAGTTTGTAGAGTCGCAAGCTTGATATAGTCATTGCGTGCTAGGAATATAGGACCCCACTAAACTTTTGACTACTTTATTTAGAAGAATCTTTAGCGGTGTCCATAATTTTGATCCCTACCTTTTAGAGAGAAAAGACTACTTGTTAAACACATGTATTTCTCTGAGCAATTGTATTAGTGGTAAATTATATAATTTCACCCTTTTTTTTGCTTACAATATAGCTCAGTATTTGAATTATTTATTTTATACAGTCATTATTGCTCATCTTCATCAAGGGTGTCAATAATTTCGGACCCCACTGTAGCTATTTGGAGGTCAACTGTGTGTAGATGAGCTTGAGAAATGAATTTGACAAGTGAAATACAGTATACTGTATTCTAAAATAACATTGGCAAAAAAGCCCCACACACTTGTCCCATGCATAGGCCTAATCATCAGCAACAACCATTTCTCTATTTGTCTCTCTCTGCCCACAATGGAAAAAGACCACTTCACAGACAAACCCTCACTGCTAAAGAGGAAGAGATCAAACCATAACCACTCAACTCGTCTCTGGTTGAGGAGGGTTGTTGGTTTGTGGTAACTATGACAACCAATGTAAAGTTTCTCAGCCTTTGTGCACAGTATTTTGTGTCTTGAGAGGCATACACACAAACAACTGACTTAAGTGGTCCAGCCTTTGTTTTGAACGGTCAAAAAGCGTACCATTAAAAAATAAATCTATGTTCCAATCTGCTTAATACTGAAAGGTCCAATATTCAGAAATTGCTTCACCATTTCCTGGTTGCAAATTTTGTTATATTTTGCCTAATTTCAGTATATGTGACAAAACAAGCGCTGTATAGTATAGAAAATAATTGAACCATCTAAACCACTGTGAAATATATTTTCAGTAACCACAAATATTATATTTTCAGATGTTTGAAGCTGGTGTACAAAGAAAAAACGTAACTTAAGAACTGGGAGGATAGAAATAGCGCCCATAGAACATATCTACCACATCTTAGATATGCTTTCAATGAGAATGACAGAGCTATAACTCACATTTCTATGTGAATTTGGTCGGGTTGCCCAAAAGGTTGCATATTGAAGCTAAAAGGGGTGGCTCTCCCATAGACACCAATGTGATAGCAGCTGGATCTGATCTGCTTAATTCATTGACTGACTGTATATGAAGCACAAAAAAGGAGCAAGTGAAATGTCTCGCTTGCTCTTACGTCTATGCTACTACCACTGTTGATGATGTAAATATTGTAAATAATGGGACTGATGAGACACCTAGTGGAATGTATTGGATGTACACTACAGTATACACAGTATCATATGAATGTAATGTGGACAACTGAGAATGTTATCCATTCAGTAAGATGGTTCTGGGATCTCAACATGTCTTCTCCATGCAACACATTATAGAGTTCTTTCATCTGACAACAATACCATGACATTGGTGCACTGATACACATCTCTCTTTTTGTTGAGTCCTGCTAGAATAACACAGTGATATTTGTAATGTTTGTAAAATGTAATGTAGGACATAGTGATACAGTAGTAGTAGTAGTAGTTGTTGTTGTTGTTGTTGTTGTTGTTGTTGTTGTTGTTGTTGTTGTTGTTGTTGTTGTTGAGTATTTCATATTGGTTCATATTTGGTCATTTTAAAACCATGAAAGAGGACCAAATTACTAATACCTAATCTGAACACACCTCACCACATAATTTACTTGTCTTGGACAACAGTCAGCAGAGACAGTATGTTAATATGAGAATAGTACCACTTTCATAGTGTCAGTGGTTATACAAATATATTCACAGAAAACAACAGTTGCTTCCACAGCTGTCAGTATCGTGCTTCAAGAGAGCCCACACAAATAGTCAAATTGACAGGAGCTGTCATTATGAAATGATTATTATAAAACATTATTTGATGATATATGATGTGATATATTATATTAGGATTATGGAAATAATGTATTATCTGCTGTCTCTCTTTAACCATGTCACGCCCTGACTCAAGGGACTCGTATATGTTGAGTCAGGGTGTGTATGTTCTGTGTTGTATATTTCTATGTTGATGTTCTAGTGTGTCTATTTCTATGTTGGCCGGTGTGGTTCCCAATCAGAGGCAGCTGTCGCTCGTTGTCTCTGATTGGGGACCATACTTAGGCAGCCTTTTGGCACTAGTTAGTGGTGGGATCTTGTTAGTTTATTGTTTTGTCGTTGTGTTTATTCGTTAAATAAACATGTTGGCATATCACGCTGCGCCTTGGTCCTTATCCACGCTGCGCCTTGGTCCCCATTTTCTTCATCTGTTTCTGCTGCTAAGGCCACTTTCTACCACTCTAAATTCCAAGCATCTGCCTCTAGCCCTAGGAAGCTCTTTGCCACATTCTCCTCACTGCTGAATCCCCCCCCCCCCCCCCCCCCCCCCCTCCTCCCTCTCTGTGGATGACTTCGTCAACCACTTTGAAAAGAAGGTTGACGACATCCGATCCTCGTTTGTTAAGTCTAATGACACTGCTGGTCCTGCTCACACTGCCCTACCCTATGCTTTGACTTCTTTCTCCCCTCTCTCTCCAGATAAAATCTTGCGACTAGTGACTGTAGGCCGCCCAACAACCTGCCCGCTTGACCCCATCCCCTCCTCTCTTCTCCAGACCATCTCCGGTGACCTTCTCCCCTACCTCACCTCGCTGATCAACTCATCCTTGACCGCTGGCTATGTCCCTTCCGTCTTCAAGAGAGCGAGAGTTGCACCCCTTCTCAAAAAACCAACACTCGATCCCACTGATGTCAACAACTACAGACCAGTATCCCTTCTTTCTTTTCTTTCCAAAACTATTGAGCGTGCCGTCTTTAGCCAACTCTCTTGCTATCTCTCTCAGAATGACCTTCTTGATCCAAACCAGTCAGGTTTCAGGACTGGTCATTCAACTGAGACTGCTCTTCTCTGTGTCACGGAGGCTCTCCGCACTGCTAAGGCTAACTCTCTCTCCTCTGCTCTTGTCCTTCTAGACCTGTCTGCTGCCTTTGATACTGTGAACCATCAGATCCTCCTCTCCACCCTCTCTGAGCTGGGCATCTCCGGCACGGCTCACTCCTGGATTGCGTCCTACCTGACCAGTCGCTCCTACCAAGTGGCGTGGCGAGAAGCTGTCTCCGCACCACGTGCTCTCACCACTGGTGTCCCCCAGGGCTCAGTTCTAGGCCCTCTCCTTTTCTCCCTATACACCAAGTCACTTGGCTCTGTCATATCCTCACATGGCCTCTCCTATCATTGCTACGCTGACGATACACAACTAATCTTCTCCTTTCCCCCTTCTGATAACCAGGTGGCGAATCGCATCTCTGCATGTCTGGCAGACATATCAGTATGGATGACGGATCACCACCTCAAGCTGAACCCTGGCAAGACGGAGCTGCTCTTCCTCCCGGGGAAGGACTGCCCGTTCCATGATCTCGCCATCACGGTTGACAACTCCGTTGTGTCCTCCTCCCAGAGTGCGAAGAGCCTTGGCGTGACCCTGGACAACACCCTGTCGTTCTCCGCTAACATCAAGGCGGTGACCCGATTCTGCAGGTTCATGCTCTACAACATTCGGAGAGTACGACCCTGCCTTACACAGGAAGCGGCACAGGTCCTAATCCAGGCACTTGTCATCTCCCGCCTGGATTACTGCAACTCGCTGTTGGCTGGGCTCCCTGCCTGTGCCATTAAACCCCTACAACTCATCCAGAATGCCGCAGCCCGTCTGATGTTCAACCTTCCCAAGTTCTCTCACGTCACCCCCCTCCTCCGCACACTCCACTGGCTTCCAGTTGAAGCTCACATCCGTTACAAGACCATGGTGCTTGCCTATGGAGCAGTGAGGGGAACGGCACCTCCGTACCTTCAGGCTCTGATCAGTCCCTACACCCAAACGAGGGCATTGCGTTCATCCACCTCTGGCCTGCTGGCTCCCCTTCCTCTGCGGAAGCATAGTTCCCGCTCAGCCCAGTCAAAACTGTTCGCTGCTCTGGCAGCTCCCTCACGACGCCAGGACAGCGGAGTCACTCACCACCTTCCGGAGACATTTGAAACCCCACCTCTTTAAGGAATACCTGGGATAGGATAAAGTAATCCTTTAAAAAAAAATATATATATATATTGGAAAGTGGTTATCCCACTAGCTATAGGGTGAATGCACCAATTTGTAAGTCGTTCTGGATAAGAGCGTCTGCTAAATGACGTAAATGTGCCCTTGAGCAAGGCACTTAACCCTAATTGCTCCTGTAAGTCGCTCTGGATAAGAGCGTCTGCTAAATGACTAAAATGTAAATGTAAATGTTATCGTTCATCAACGATCGTGACAAACCATCTATCATGAATGATACTTAACTGACAGATAATGTTATATCTCTATATAATTACAGCTAGCTAGAATCCTACCTACTGTAAATTCTACAGGCCATGTTTGAATGAGCATGACAAGTCAACTGTCTTGGCTCTGCCTTTAGAGATGGCATCAGTATGTCTACAGTACGTTGACTAGGTTGCCAGTTTACAACATATTTAAATTAAGTTCTAGTTTACCACATATTCAAATAAAGACCAGCGGAAAATAGGAACTGAATATGAGTTCTGTATTTTAACTCACCACCCCACTCAGCATTCTCCTGGGACGTGTGTCCGTGCCTGTAAGCGTGTGTGTCTCTGTGCATGTTCTTTGCATAACATTCTGTGTATTCCGTAACAGTTGTGTTTGTGTACTACTAGTGTGTGTGTGTGTGCTTGAGTGTGTGAGTGTTTGTGGAATTTTCATGAGTGAGCATGTGTGATGTTAAGGGACTTCTTCCTCTTCTGGTCTCCACTCTGAGAGAGGACTTAGAGTAGTGATGATGTCTGGTGAAATCGTCTACTCCGATGTTACATTCACTCGGCATCAGAACCAAGATGCTGGAGCAGAAAGTGAAGTTTCTAAAGGTGAGTTTCTCCTCCTCTTTATTCTCTCTCATTTATATAGTTATATTAGTTTTCAAACATACGTTTACAATACAACATTTCATCACCTTGGGGGGCGAGGGTTGAAATGTCATAATTCAACAAGGAGTTAGTAACAGAAGAAGGCTGTATATACTGAGTGTATAAAACATGAAGAACACCTGCTCTTTCCATTACATACACTGACCAAGTGAAACCAGGTGAACGCTGTGATCAATTATTGATATCAAATGTTAAATCATTGTAGGAGACGGGTTAAAGAAGGATTTTTACCCCTTGAGACAATCGAGACATGGATTGTGTACGTGTGCCATTCAGAGGGTGAATGGGCAAGACAAAAGATTTGAACGGGGTATGGTAGTAGTTGCCAGGCGCACCGGTTTGTGTCAAGAACTGCAACACTGCTGGGGTTTTTACACTCAACAGTTCCTCGTGTGCATCAACAATAATGATCCACCACAAAAAGGACATCCAGCCAACTTGACACAACTGTGGGAAGCATTGGAGTCAACATCGGCCAGCATCCCTGTGCAACGCTTTCGACACCTTGAAAGGCCTCAGTATGTATAAAAATTATATTATAATAATTTGATAAAATATTGAATTTGGCCTTTACTACTATAGCCCATAGAAACACATTGAAAAACACATTCAAAATGGCAAAAAAAAGACAGTCAAAGAACAAATCATAAGGAATATCATAAGGAATATTTTTATTTAATTGTCACGTTCGTTTAAGGACGGGTCAGACCAAGGCGCAGCGTGAAATGCATACATGTTTATTTTAAAGATAAACACATGAACAAAACAACGTAACGTGAAGTCCACAGGCTAAACACAACACAAGCCTCTACACGGAACAAGATCCCACAACAACTGAATGCAAACAGGCTGCCTAAGTATGATCCCCAATCAGAGACAACGAGCGACAGCTGTCTCTGATTGGGAATCACACCCGGCCAAACATAGAAATACAACACCTAGACTGAGAACATAGAAAATACAACATAGAACTCCACACCCTGATTCAACATCTTAGAGTCCCATACGTCAGGGTGTGACAGTATCCCTCCCCCCCCCAAAGGTGCAGACTCCGACCGCACAAACCTTACATAACAGAGTAGGGTCCGGGTGGGCATTCCACCTCGGAGGCGGATCCGGCTCCGGGCGTGACGACCACATTCTCTCAGCCTCCCCGTTACGCCCCTGGTCTGGTCTGGACCTCGGCACGCTGCTTCCCCTCTCCTTCCTCCCACGATGCACCAAGCCCTGTCTGGACCCTGGTGTGGGAGACCCCGAACCTGGAGAGGGACTGACATCTGGGTCTGGACTGGAGCCGCTGACCGGAGTTGGACTGGGCACCGGTGAAGCGAACTGCTCTGGCTCTGGACTGGAGCCGCTAACCGGAGCTGGACTGGGCACCGGTGGAGCGGACTGCTCTGGCTCCGGAGTGGAGTTGCTGACCGGAGCTGGGACTGGATCCTGGTGGAGCGGACTGCTCTGGCTCCGGAGTGGAGTGTAACGGGCACGGGCCGTGCCGGACTGGACACACGCACCACTGGCTTGGTGCGAGGAGCAGGCAAGGGCCGGACCGGACTAGGATCACGCATCACTGGCTTGGTGCGAGGAGCAGGAACGGGCCGGGCCGGACTAGCGACACGCACCACTGGCTTGGTGCGGGGAGCAGGCACGGGCCGGGCCGGACTGGGAACACGCACCACTGGTCTGGTGGGAGGAGCAGGAACGGGCCGGGCTGGACTGGAGACACACACCACAGGTCTGGTGCGAGGAGCAGGAACGGGCCGGGCCAGACTGGGGACACGCACCATTGGCTTGGTGCGGGGAGCAGGCACGGGCCGGACCGGACTAGGAACACGCACCACTGGCTTGGTGCGAGGAGCAGGGACAGGCCTTACCGGACTGGGAACACGCACCACTGGCCTGGTGCGTGGAGCAGGAACAGGCCGGGCCGGACTGGCGACACGCCACACTGGCCTGGTGCGAGGAACAGGAACAGGCCGGGCCGGACTGAGAACACGCACCACTGGCTTGGTGCGGGGAGCAGGAACGGGCCGGGCCGGACTGGGAACACGCACCACTGGCCTGGTGCGAGGAACAGGAACGGGCCAGGCCGGACTGGGGAGACACACCACAGGTCTGGTGCGAGAAGCAGGAATGGGCCGGGCTGGAGACACGCACCACTGGTTTGGTGCGAGGAGCAGGAATGGGCCGGGCCGGGCTGGGGACACACACCACTGGCTTGGTGCGAGGAGCAGATACGGGCCGAACAGGACTGGTGAGGTGCACTGGAGACCAGGAGCGTTGAGCCGGCACTACCCGTCCTGGCTGGCTGCCCACTTTCACACGATACGTGCGGGGCGCTGGCACAGAACGCACTGGGCTGTGCATGCGCACTGGCGATACAGTGCGTAACTCTGCATACTTGGGTTCCTCTATTAACCCACGCTCCTTATGTTGCCTAAACAGCTCCTCTCTCCGTGAATCTACTTCCTCCTTCTCCCTACGAGCTTCCTGCAGTGCCTCCTCTTGAATGGAGCTCTCCCGCTCTATTCTCGCTATCAGCCCCCGTAATGTGGTGGCCTCCTCTCTTACCCTGCAGATCCGATCCTTCTCTCTCTCTCGGCACTCCTCCTCCAGTGAGGACTCCTCCGGGAGCCCCCACGAGTTAGGGAACAGAAACTCATCGTCGTCGTCGTCATCCTCCGACTCCTCAGTATAAAACTGTTCCCACTCTTCTTCCCCATGGTCGTAGGGACTCAACCTGGAAACCCACCGGGTGCAGTGGTCGGGGCTCTTCTCTCTCGCTCCCCGACCACTCCTTTAGCCCCCCCAAAAACATGTATTGGGGCTGCCTCTCGGGCTTCCTCCTCGGCCGGCTCCTTCTGTGTTGCCGTTGCTCCTCTCCTGCCTGGGCTTCCTTCTTCGCCCAGGGTCCTTTCCCCGCAAATATCTCCTCCCAAGACCAAATCTTCCCCACCTGTGTCCAGGGTGTTTGCTCCTGGGCACGCTGCTTGGTCCGTGTTTGGTGGGATCTTCTGTCACGTTCGTTTAAGGACGGGTCAGACCAAAACTGTGTAAACCCAGGGGTTAGAGGGAAAATAAGACATATTTTGGTTGGGATCAATATGAGCTTTTCTGAAGTGTGTTTGTAACTGTACTTGAGGATAAATATGAATTAGTACTAAATGTTTAACATGTGGTATTGTGTGAGTCAGTGGGCATCTCTTTTAGAATGTACTATAGCATTATTATGTAAAGTGCAAAGTTTTTGTCCATTTCCTTTTGAATATATTCCATAGGGCCTCAACAATGGTTCTCCATATAGAATCCTGTTTTGAAGGATATGTACAGTTTTAGTGCAATGTAAAGGGCATGAGAAGATGACAGTTCCATGTAAAGTAGTTGTTATTCGTCACACTCTGGACATGTCTGTTGGATTTCACACTGTGAACCAACTTCCAGACAGACATACAGACAGACAGACAGCATCAACCTGTAACATTTGGTTCATGGCCAAAAGTGTTTCCTAATTTCTCTTGACAATAAGTTAGCTTTTCTTCAGATATGCTGAATTAGAATATTAGATTGGTTAGTTACCCTAACAGTTAATAAAATGGTTTGCATGTTGGACCTTCCAGTCAGGGGACTCTAACCTAGTAGAGCTCAAAGGAAAGAATATTGAGATAGTGGATTGTAAGAGAGGAACTAGAATGGGACATTTCTTATAGAATGTTGAGAAAGTGGATCGTGAGAGAGGAAATAGAATGGTACATTTCTAATAGAATGTTGAGATAGTGGATTGTGAGAGAGAGGAACTAAAATGGTACATTTCTAATAGAATGTTGATACAGTTGATTGTGAGAGAGAAACTATACTGAAAAAATATATAAATGCCACAAGCAACAATTTAAAAGATTTTACTGAGTTACAGTTCATATAAGGAAATCAGTCAATTGAAATTAATTAATTAGGCTCTGATCTACGGATGTCACATGACTGGGAATACAGATATGCATCTGTTGGTCATAGATACCTACAAAAAATGGGCCTTACAATGACCTCAAGATCTCGTTACGGAATTTTTGTGCATTCAAATTGCAAATCGATAAAATTCAATCGTGTACGTTGTCCGTAGTTTATGACTGCCCATACCATAACCCCACCACCACCATGGGGCACTCTGTTCACAACGGTGACATCAGCAAACTGCTCATCCACACGACACCATACACAAGGTCTGCGGTTGTGAGGCCAGTTGAACGGACTGCCAAATTCTCTAAAACGACGTTTGAGGTGGCTTATGGTAGAGAAATTAATCTGTGGCATTGTGTTGTGTGACAAAACTGCACATTTTAGAGTGGCCTTTATTGTCCCCAGCACAAGGTGCACCTGTGTAATGATCATGCTGTTTAATCAGCTTCTTGATATCCCACACCTGTCAGGTGGATGGATTATCTTGGCAAAGGAGAAATTCTCACTAACAGGGAAGTGAACATATTTGTCTACATAATTTGAGAGCAATAAGCTTTTTGTGCAAATGGAACATTTCTGGGATCTTTTATTTCAGCTCATGAAACATGGGACCAACACCTTAGATGTTGCGTTTATATATATTTTCATTGTAGACCGATACATTTCTAATATAATATTGATATAGTGGATTCTTAGAGAGGTACTAGAATGGTACATTTCTAATAGAATGTTGAGATAGTGGAATGTGTGAGAGAAACTAGAATGGTACAATACTAATAGAATGTTGAGATAGTGGAATGTGTGAGAGAAACTAGAATGGTACAATACTAATAGAATGTTGCGATAGTGGAATGTGAGAGAGAAACTAGAATGGTACAATTCTAATAGGGGGTAATCACCATGAGGTTGGTTTTAGGGAAATAATATAATCACGCATGGGGTGCAATATATATAAAATAAATGAAAAAAAGAACCATTTCTTTCTTCATATCTCTGTATCCATAGGAGTAGCCGAACATGAAGATGATGTCACATACTCTGAGGTCAGAAGACCAGGAGGTAGAGCTAGAGAGCAGGAGGATCCTGGGAAAGGTGAGGTGTGTGTGTGTTACAATTAGCTAAGGGTTACATTAAATACCCCTTATTTAACCTTATGACCTTATAACCTCTGACATCCACTCCTTTTCCAGGAAGTGACCCTGACACTTGTGACCCCTCTCCCCCAGTGGGGTCAAAGGCTGCAATCCCGGAGGGAGGGTCTGGGAGTGTTCCCGTGGTGACCCTGGCGTGTCTCTGTGTTCTACTGCTGGGTCTGGCTATCACTCTGGGAGTCCTCTGTGAGTATAGAAACATTTAACTGAACCCTGACCCTTTTACACTACTGAACCGAACTGGTTATGCATCCACTGTAGTTGTTGGCCTGGAACTCTGCTGAAAAGGACAATGTGCAGAGAAAATATCCAAGCCACCCCAGACCAGTACATTTCAGGTTGGTACGATAGTGTGATACACAAGAGAAGAACAATTACCCTCCATCTTGTCTCCTTGTCTCTGTTCCAGATTCTTCCAACATGACTAGTCTTCAAACTGAGGAGGCTCGCTTTGCCCAGATGAAAGAGAATCTAACAGGTGAGAATATCAATGATCCAGAGGTCTTTACCATTATCAACCCCTTATATAAATGTTTGAGAGAATCCTTCATATAAATCATTAAGGTGCAGTTTGTCAATGGGGGACTGGCTCAGATTCAAATACTGCCGTTTCACTGTAATATATGAATAACATATTGTTTCATTTTAATAGGACTATGGTTAGATAATAGGTAATTCTAGCTTGGACAAGGTTTACTTTCTTACTTTATTGTTAGATATGTAAATAAATGAATGTTATTCATCCGTATTATTTGCTCTTTCATAACAGGGAAACTGCATGAACTGCAAGACAACTATAAGAGACTGCAGAATGAGAGCCACAACATAACAGGTAGGTAGTCTAGAGCAGGACTCTACTGACATGGGACTGACTAGCTGCTGTTCTCCTATTCATATCACAATATTGTCATAACATATCTGTAATTATTGAAGTGCTTTTAAAGGCTGGTCATGACACACATTAACACCATCATCCCAGACAGCCTAGACCCACACCAATTCACATACACTACAGATCCACAGATGAAGCAATCTCAATTGCACTTCACACTGCCCTCTCCCACCTGGACAAGATGTGAAATAACTATGTGAGAATGCTGTACATAGACTACAGCTCAGCGTTCAACACCATAGTCCCCTCCAATATCATTACCAAGCTAAGGACCCTGGGACTGAACACCTCCCTCTGCAACTGGATCCTGGACTTCCTGACAGGCCGGCCCCAGGTGGTGAGGGTAGGCAACAACACCTCCACCACGCTGACCCTCAACACGGGGGCCCCTCAGGGGTGTGTGCTTAGTCCCCTCCTGTACTCCCTGTTCACCCACGACTGACCCACATTCACATACACTACATACACACACACACACAAACATAACACACACACGCAGACCGACAAAACACAAACACACATACATACACATCACACACACACACTTTTATACTCATAATTTGCTGCTGCTGCTACACTGTTCTTTATTTGACTCTTATTATTATCTATCCTGATGCCTAGTCACTTTACCCTACCTTCATGTACATATCTACCTCAAATACCTCAGCATATTGATCTGATACTGGTACTCCCTGTATATAGCTCCATTCTTTTGTATTTTATTTTATTCCTCTTGTGTTACTATTTTGTTTTTATTTTAAACTCTGCATTTTAGGGAAGGGCTCATAAGCAAGAATTTCACGGTAAAGTCTACACCAGTTGTATTCGGCGCATGTGACTAATAACACTTGATTTGATTTGACATACTAATGTAAAGGGGAAGTTGAACCCAATTTAACTAAAACTTCTCATTTCAATACAAAGTTCCATGTTATCAAGATTAGCATTACATTTACACTGCAGTAGTATTGCTTCCCCAAAACATGTTTCAATATTGTATATGCTATCATTGCACTGTATATGAGGAAGGACATGGGTTTTTCTTGACCAGGGAAAAGTCCTGGCCCTAATGGAAATTTAGTCATATGAGTGTGGTGAAGTGCATTGGAAAGTAATTTTATACTTCAAATGTTTTGTTTGCCAACTACATACCTTTTGTATTATGGCCTTAATTCAACAGAACTACACTGTATTCTAATTTGTTGTAAATCTCTTCTGTTCTTAGTCCAGAAAGAGTTGTTATCCTCAGGGCTTCAAGACTGTAAGGCCAACCTGACTAGGGTCAAAGATCTCCTGCCAACCATCCAAGGTCAGTTCAATCCTCCCTATGTACTGTGGTTGTGACTAGATGGATTACAGCTACAAATGAGATTACCATACAAATAAGAATGGAATCATGGATTCATGGAATATAATAATTCTTATACCTATGGATTTACCATTTAACTACTGCGAGAGTTTGGACATACGTTTTGAAGCCAGATAACGACTCAGAGTAGGATATAACTTTTTGTTGCTATGGCGATAGATAGCTAGATGCTAGCTAGAGGTAGGGCAGCAATGTGCAGATAGCTGGTGGTCAATATGTACAGAGTTTCAATTTGAAAAGACCACATTTAGGATGCATTGGCATTTAGCAGGACAAATTGGCTTGGTTATATTGTATCTCTGCACTGGCAATTTATTTGAAACGTTATAGTTTATTTCCTACCTCCACCGGAATGTGGCAAGCACGATTACATGATAGGATAGGATGTATATGATTAAATGCATTATACACTGTTTGTTTACCTCAATATTGATTTAGCTAGCATTGTGAAGCAGTGTCTACGCATACAAGCAACAGTTCATTGATATTTCATCAAAAATAAACAATCGCCAGTGAAACTATTCATTTTTACTTTGAGAAAATCTAAGTGATATCCGACTCCGACTCATCATCTGGCTTCCAAACGCAAGTCCAAACTCTCGCAGTGCTCAATGGTGAATCTCGTCCGTAGCTGTACTCCATCTAGTCACAACCATATACTCTAACCTATGACAGAATGAGCGTGGATGTCCAATGGCCAGTAGTTCAATTATAGGATATGTGGTGGAGCTGTTCTTCAACTTGTTACCCAGTCAGCCCAATTCTGATCTTTTTTCCCACTAATTGGTATTTTGACCATAGGAGGTTGGTGGCACCGTAATTGGGGAGGACGGGCTCAAGGTAATGGCTGGAGCGGAATTGGTGGAATGGTATCAAATACATCAAACACATGGTTTCCATGTGCTTGATCCCATTCCAAATACTCCCTTCCAACCATTATTATGAGCCGTCCTTCCCTCAGCAGCCTCCACTGCTTTTGACCAATCAGATCAGCTCTTTTGCTGATCATTTGCCCAATTATTGTCAAAAGATCTGATTGCTCAAAAGACCAATAATTGAGCAAAAGATCAGAATTGGGCTGACAGTGTAAACGCTGTATGTCATTGTTTCTCATTCCATTGATGTCCTTTCTCTTTCAGGTTATCTCTCCCTTAGCCCACAACTCTTGTGCTCTCTTAAAGGGACACACACATTTAACAAGAACATCACAGGATATAGAACTGAAAGTCATCAAATTTCAATGACGTTATCTCTTCTCTCTTCTAGGGAATCAGAAGGAATGTAATGCTGATAGGAAGCCATGTTCTCCTGGCTGGGAGTTCTACAATGGATCATGTTACTACTTCTCTAAAGACAAACTGACCTGGGAACAGAGTCAGTACGCCTGCATCCACGATGGAGGACACCTGGTCATCATAGAGAGTAGTCAGGAGCAGGTAAGGTTGGAGGTGCAGTAATTAATTGCTAATGACTTTCACATAAAGTGCAGACTTCAAGTTAGGATACAGCCTTCTGTTAGTGTCTCTCTGTGCTTTGCATGTCTGTCTCCATTGGTTGACCTTAGAGGAAAGCAGGCGGGGCTCTCGCTCTTCAAGTTAAAAATATACTTTATTTAGAATAGTATAAAAAAATAAATGTTCAGCCATCAAATCTTTCTTCAGGATGAGAACCATTGGTCCATTGGTTGATTAACGTGTGGTTTCCTCCATAGGAGTTTATAAAACAGAGAGTGGTGACACTGGGAATTGAGCCTTATGAACACAGCCCCTGGATAGGACTGACAGATGAGAAGCAAGAGAAAGTGTGGGTCTGGATGGACAATACAACTCTTTTTAATGAGAACATCAAGTAAGGATGTTTTTAAGGTATACATTTGCACACATCTACACACACAGGTATGCACGCATGCTCACACAAACACACACACACACACACACACACACACACACACAAAGACACACAAAAACAACTCAGCTGTACACTCAAAAGCAAAACATTGTATACATAGTTCTGTTGTGGCCAAATATATTGGCACTCTTGCACTTTTATTAAATCATTCAATATTTATTCTCAAATAACTTGAAATAGAAAATAACTTTTGATATCCAAACATTTCTATTGGCTTTTCAACATTGCAGAACATTTACATTTTTGTAAACTTAAGCAACTTTTTACTGGCAATTTGGCCCAGTCTTTAGCAGCAATCTGCTCTAATTCTTCAATGTTAGAGGGGTGCCCTCCACCAACTGCTGTTTTCAGATCTCACCATTGATTTGAACTGTGATTCAGATCTGGACTCATCACTGCCCACTCCAGAATAGTCCAGTGTTTCTTCTTGAACCGTTCCTGGGTGCTTTTTGATGTGTGTTTGGGGTTGTTGTCCTGCTGGAGGACCCACAACCTTCAATGGAGACACAGTTTTTGGACACTGGATTTAACACTGGACTCCAATCTGCTGATTTCATGATGTCTTGCGCACGTTCAAGGCCCCCAGTACTAGAGGCAGCAAAGCAACCCCACAGCATTATCAAACCTCCCCATGTTTGATTGTAGGGATGGTGTTCTTTTAATTGAATGCTTCATTTGGTCATCGGTAAACACAGTGCTGATCAGTAATTCCAAAGAGATCAAATTGTGTTTTGTTTGTGGCCAGTGAAGAGTCCAGATCTGAATCACATACATCATCTATGGCAAGAGCTGAAAACAGCAGTTGGTGGAAGGCACCCCTCAAACATTGAAGAATTAGAGCAGTTTGCTGCTGAAAATTGGGCCAAATTGCCAGTAGAAAGGTTCAGAAAGTTCATTGAGGGCTACAGGAAGCATTTGTCGGGAGTTATCTTGGCCAAAAGCTCTGCTACCAAGTACTAGCTCCAGGGTGCTAATCATTTTGTCCATGCCATTTGTCTTTATTTTCTAAATATATATGTTTTCCTTCTGCTGGGACATACTGTATGGAGTAATGGTTTCCCTTCTCCCTTTTCTAGGTACTGGGACTCCAGCGAACCAAATAACCGTGGGCCTAAAGGTGAAATAGAAAACTGTGTCCGAATTGGTCAACACTGTCACAGAGATAACGATTGTTGGTTTGACTTTCCATGTGCCAAACCATCTAACAGAATCTGTGAGAGTCGTTCAGTCTGTGAAAGTCAGGCAGCCTCTCCATAGTATTGCAAAATGTAGTGTATTGAATGAGTAACCAGCACAAGACACCTCATTGTTGGGTAGTATGTAGGACCAGTTGCCTAGACACAGATTAAACCTAGTCCTGGACTATGAAGCATATTCAATGGAGATTCCCCATTTAGAGTGTTTTTAGTCCAGGACTAGGTTTAATCTGTGTCCAGGAAACCAACCCATAATGTAACATTTGGGTTAATGTAGAGTACTAGCTTCAGAGCTTTTTGTTTGTCTGAATTTGTTGGTTTTACACACCAGCCAAGCTTCTGGGAGAGCACCATTGTTACCTTTTGATTAGTTCCTCCACATAGCCAGCTGGATGTGACAGATCCTGCTAAATTGAATTGAACTTTTCTATTCATATTTGTAAATATGCTTTCTCATGTAACATTTTACATTTCAGTCATTTAAAAGACGCTCTTATCCAGAGTGACTTACAGTTAGTGCATTTTAGTAATTAATTAGATATACAGTAGTATTAGAGAAATTATTATTGTAAAGATGTTATATACTGGTTTAGGATGCATGGTTTAGGATGCACGGTTTAGCCTGTATGGTTCAGCCTGTATGGTTTAGCCTGTATGGTTTAGCCTGTATGGTTTAGCCTGTATGGTTTAGCCTGTATGGTTTAGCCTGTATGGTTTGGCCTGTTATCTCAACCTTCTTTCCAGGAAAATGTAACTCGTTTGTTGGAGATGGGTTCTAACAATGGGATTCATTAATTCAGCTGTTTTTATGGATTTATTGTAACAATGGGATTCATTAATTCAGCTGTTTTTATAGATGTATTTGTATGTGTAGGTCTAATAGATGGAATTAGACATGAATTAATAAATAAATAAACATTTCATGATCTATATGTTTTATGTTCACAATTTTCTGTATTTGCGGTTCGGTATCTGAGTCTATATCAAGTCTTAGTCAATGTAACAACGGCGTCTCTGATAGGGATGGAGGGTAGTTTAGTAGGGGGTCTCTGAGAGGGATGGAGGGTAGTTTAGTAGGGGGTCTCTGAGAGGGATGGAGGGTAGTTTAGTAGGGGGTCTCTGAGAGGGATGGAGGGTAGTTTAGTAGGGGGTCTCTGAGAGGGATGGAGGGTAGTTTAGTATGAGGTCTCTGAGAGGGATGGAGGGTAGTTTAATAGGGGGTCTCTGAGAGGGATGGAGGGTAGTTTAGTAGGGGTCTCTGAGAGGGATGGAGGGTAGTTTAATAGGGGTCTCTGAGAGGGATGGAGGGTAGTTTAGTAGGGGTCTCTGAGAGGGATGGAGGGTAGTTTAGTAGGGGGTCTCTGAGAGGGATGGAGGGTAGTTTTAGTAGGGGGTCTCTGAGAGGGATGGAGGGTAGTTTAGTAGGGGGTCTCTGAGAGGGATGGAGGGTAGTTTAGTAGGGGGTCTCTGAGAGGGATGGAGGGTAGTTTAGTAGGGGGTCTCTGAGAGGGATGGAGGGTAGTTTAGTAGGGGGTCTCTGAGAGGGATGGAGGGTAGTTTAGTAGGGGTCTCTGAGAGGGATGGAGGGTAGTTTAGTAGGGGTCTCTGAGAGGGATGGAGGGTAGTTTAGTAGGGGGTCTCTGAGAGGGATGGAGGGTAGTTTAGTAGGGGGTCTCTGAGAGGGATGGAGGGTAGTTTAGTAGGGGTCTCTGAGAGGGATGGAGGGTAGTTTAGTAGGAGGTCTCTGAGAGGGATGGAGGGTAGTTTAGTAGGGGTCTCTGAGAGGGATGGAGGGTAGTTTAGTAGGGGGTCTCTGAGAGGGATTAAGGGTAGTTTAGTAGGGGGTCTCTGAGAGTGATGGAGGGTAGTTT